TCTAGTGTAGTGTACATGTAGTACAGTGCAGTGCAGGATAAATCTTGGAAGGTATACCTCTACAGGAGGTGCGGTGGCCTCATGGTTAGTGCGCTCGTCCCCGGATCGAGCGGTCCGGGTTTGAGCCCTGGCCGGGGACACTGTGTTGTGTTCTTGGTCAAGACCCTTAACTCTTACAGTGCCGTACAGGAGTATAAATGGATACCGGCGAATTGTTGTGGGAACCGAACAAATTGCGGGGGAGTGACCTGCGATGAACTAGCATCCCATCCAGGGGGGGGGGTAGAAATACTCCTAGCCGCTTCATGCTGCAGAAACCGGGATAGGCTCCGGCAGCTATGAGGCAGTCGGCTCCAAGGCTTCACTTTTATACCCCTACAGGAGGCGTAATTTCATTTCTTGTTTTTCATTTCAATCTAGCACTTTGCCGACTGCCTTGCTCAAGCAGTGTACGCTGCATACTGTGAAGTCTTTCCACGATCTTATCAACTGTTCGATGATGACTTCAAGAGTTTCCTTCTCAACACCATTTCTGAGTGGGTCACAGGTAAGATAGACCACGAAATCATGACGGAAATTTACCGTGAAATACATACATGTTATTTGCCGGCTGGAAGGTCCGTATAGTGAAAAACTATGACCGATTTGAAGTACGAGTTCAGAGTTTTTCACTATACGGACTGACCCTAAGCCGGTAAATAACTTTTTTTATTTTTTCCTCTCACATCGCGCACGAGTTACCGTGACCGTGGTTCGAGATAGGAAATTCCGGACCGCGCTAAGAACCAATCAGATTGCAGGATTCGTTAACGTGGCCTCTTAGAAAAATAAGGACTTTTAAGCGAATTTGAGAGATTTTCTTTTGAAGTGACTTACGTACTTAGTTACGTACAGCTCAATGTCCGTTTTACAATCATTTACTTCCAGTATGGCACCGATATCTATTGAAATTAAGATTTTCAGACGACGGAAGACAAAAAAATGAAAACACGATCGGATTACGCGTTTCTTTCAATTCGACTTAAATCTCAAGTTTGTTATGTAATTGATCAAATTGCCACACAACGTCCTTTAATGATGACGGTATGAATGGTTTTCGTGTAAAATGTTTCTTCAACCGAAAACTGTTTGAAAAAACGCCTTAAACGCAGCGCGCCTAAGCAATTATGTCGTCACGTACTTGTTCTAGGTACCAGGCCCCCACCTTACTCTTGGGAGAAATGGAACCTAAAGCTCCTGGAACCGAGCAATATCAGAGAACTACAAGATGACAGAACGCAGTCTCTAAAAGGTAAATGAGAAATAAATTAATTTTATTAAATTTAAAAATACGGAAGAGGTAATGAAATAGAACACAACAAGGTTGATCACACATTTTAAAGTAGACGTGCGATAAAAAGTGTGATTTTGTTTAAGAAAGGTTTTACTTGTTCAGGGGGGAACTTCCATATAAAAGAGGGGGGTGCTCGTCGTACCTTGCAGGGGTAAAAAAGAACGGTTTTGATACCTCTCAGGGTGTTCAGCCTCAAAAGGTCCACAGCAGAAGCCTTTGCGGTACTTTTTAGGGTATTGCGCCGAAAAAAATATGACAGTAGATAATGTGTTGTGTAAGAATTGGTTCCTCTGAGAGGTGAAAAAAATTTCAAGCCACGCCCATAAGGATCTTGGTACCTCTTAGGGATTCTTTTCAAAATTTCCGACGAGCACCCCCGTCCTGTTTATATGGGAGTCCCTCCCCCCGGGTTTATTTGCAATGGAAGGTGCTGTTGTAGTTGTTTGTTTTAGAAGTACAATGATCCGTACGTTTTACAGATGAAGAAGTCACCTAACCTTACACAGTAGCATCTCCATCAGATATTGAGAACCGCTTTGTTGTTGTGTTTCAGTCATTATTTCTTTGACTTTTTGTTTCATTAGAACTTTGGATCATTTGGAAACGCTTTAGATCGCTCCTCTCTTTTCCTATTGTATTTCCTTGGTCAAGAGTTTCCAAATAAAAGAGACTAAACACACTTTTCTAAATTTTAATTTAAGTTTGCTGGTTTCTGTAAATTCTCACATCTGCAAATCGTTTGCTCTCCGCCAGCATTGAACCGTCTTCGCGAT